ACCCTGCCTGATCATAATTTAGGGATCACTCATAACATCGGAGAAAGGAAAAAGGAGAAATGGGTTGCTTTGCTTGCTTTGATGGAGGAAGCAAGCAGCAGAGAAAAGAACAAGAGCGTTTAGCTTCTCAAGAAGCCCGTGCTAAGGCTGCCGAAGCTGCTCAGAAAAGGCAATTTTCATTCCTCTTTCTCTGCATATTTGTGTATTTTTATGGGTATCATTTATGGTTGTCTTTTAATGTTTGGGAATTTTTATGACGTTGTTTGTTTGAAATGAATATGATTTTCTGAGATTTTTTTCTCAAGCATAGTTGGATTTTTAGATAGTCTTAATCTCAAGATTTATGCATGAAGAGAGAAGGGTATTGTCATAGTCGAAAATTGATTATTAAAATGAAGAATATTTTCATCATTGAGTACTAAATTACTAGATTAAAACCCGATTCTGTTGAAAGCTACAGAGTGTTTAGATAAGCTTAAAATCCCATTTAAAGGGTTTTTTGGGCAGTATGAATTCCTTTGAAGCTTATCCTTCTATGTTTGACTTGTAATTTTTGTAAGTTTCAGCCTTTCGATTTGGGAAAATAGTTCGACTTACAAAAATTTCTTCTCTTTCGTATAAAAATTAACCGACTTGTGAAATAAATTTATTTTTAGAAGGCTATGTATGTATTAATACCTGTCTGAGTGCACTGATTTTATGTGAACTATTCTCAAGATATCAGGAGTGAAAGAAGAAGTAGCTTAAGGGAGAATTAGTATATGAAATTGGAATGTTGTGACTTGTGTGTGCTCGCATGCTTGAGTGTAGATGTGAGGGAGGGTGGAGGGGAATTGTTTTAATTCTCTTATTCATCCTTCATTGGTTTGGGAGGTGGGAAATTTATCAGTAGAGCACACTTTGATCTTCTGAAAGATCTACATCCAAATGTTAATCAGTGACATCTTCATAATCTTTACATTGAACTTTTTCCTTCAATGAAATGTCTATTTTCTTTTTAAACTTCACTTCCTTTTCAATGTCTAAGGTCAAAATATCTTGAGGCCTCTTGTTCTCATTATCATGCAATGCTAATGATGAAGAATCGAGAAACTGTGGTTCCAATGTGGATGCATTGCAAGTTCAACTCTTTGAAAGATTCATCGAATTTATGGTTAAAATTAAGAAAACTCTTCCTCTTACCTTTTAAGGAATTACGATGTTGTACAAATTTTCTGTCTTGAGAACTTTCTTTTTGATAGCTCAAGTTAGTTCCAGATTGTACCAACCTTTTGGAACGGATCAACTCTGAGTCTCTGACACCAGCTTGATCCTGGACAGCCTTTAACAAAAGAATTAAACCTTGTATTGAATTTACAATATAGAGTGCAAAGAATACAGGAAGAGGAAAAAGAAGAGAAGTCATGGAGAGAACCTTATGATCTCTTCTGCAAGGCAGAACACATATACTAGGCTTTGCAAAGCTTGGACACAAATTCTGATTCCAACTCTATGTTGTTTAACATGAGTTAAACCATAGACTCCAAGATAGTTACTAGGATATTAATCCACAAAGACTCGAAAGTAGGAAAATAATAAATATCTATTACTTAAATAAGGATCGAAGTTTCGAACAATTGATTTATTTCCCAACCTAACTAGACAAGGATTACAAAAGTGCTTAAAAAGGATAACCCTCCCAGGCCGCGTGATGAAGTTTTCAAGCTCATCTTTATATATGAGCTTCAAAGCTTGGTTTTTTCTCAAAGACAAGCTTGAATTAGCTTTAGTGGACCAAAATCTGAGTTAGGTCAGAGGACCTTGGTTAATTGAACAGTGTTTAGTGAATTGTGTAAACTATATGAGCCAAGTTCAAGTTAAGCCACAAAAATTTTAAAATGTGTGAAGCTCATCTTGTCGCAACTCTTGAACCGGTCTTGGACGACAATCTATAATAGCTTGAATTTATTTACAGCTGTAGTTGATATTGATAATAACGTTAGAGAGAGATGGTGTGGAGAGAAAAAGATTTCTCAGAAAGGGAAAATGGGAGCTTTCCGGTCAAATCTTATTTCATGGGAATCCCCAAAGAGTCAGAAGGAGATTTTCCTTGAAATGAATGGAAAACGAATAACCTCCAGAAGTGCAATTCCTTGCATAGGAAGTAGCCCATGACTCATGAGGGAGGTGAAGAGAAGTAAGAAGATGCAAGAAACACTTTTTTTTTATGCAAACGAGTTGAAGAAAGATTAAACTATCCGATGTTACAATTTTATTTTATCCTTGCATGTTGAAAGCAAAACGCCAGACGTGCGAGCACTATTTAAACAAAAAAATTGTGTGTCATGGAATTACATGTCTACTTTGCATAACATGTTGGCTTGCAGGCAAGAACAGTTTGAGCACTCTGCAGCAGGACGAGCTGCTAAAGCACAGCTAGCAGCTGCGTCCAAACAATCTAATAATAACAGCAAAGACGAACCAGTGCTTAAGGTATTATTAATCATTATATATATCTCATTATTTTGTCGTGGATTCTTGAATGTGATGCTGTATACACACTACATTCTTATGATTTTCCCTTTTCATCTTGCTTAAGATTTTATTCTTTTAAGGTTTTAAATTTGGTTTTTTTTTATCACCTAATTATCCCCTAAACCTTTCCTTTCAACCTTTCAAATTTCGAACTTGATATATCGGAGTCGACTCTTTCAGTGCCATGCACTTCTAAAATAATTTAAAGAATCTGGAAATGATTCTTAAGATTGGTTCCTTATTGGCTCATTATGTTAATGCAGTGGCAGATGGGATGATGTTTAGTCTTTATGTGTCTGCCTTCAATCACCCAATGTAAGTAAGCACATTTTTCATTTTTATATTGCAGACTGTGTTCTGGTTTGTACGGAGTTTGAGTTTTGCTTTTGTTGAATGTAGCAAACAAGGCAGATGTGAAAATTTACATGTCACGTTATTTAACAAGTCAATGATGTTTTGAACAGAATTGATGTGGGCTGTGATGTCATATGAGTTACATGTCTCAATTTTTATTATTATTTTAAAATCTTGGGGGTGTGCTGAACCATAAACATAGGATTGTTTTTATATGTAAATTTATGAATTGAAAGGTAAGCAGAGGCCTTAACAACAGTATCAAAACAAAATATTTCCTAACACATTATATTTGATCGGAATGTGGAAACTGACAACAGCGGATAAATCATAAGTTGACGACCGATGCCAATAAGTTGAAATACACAAAATGTTGGGAAGAATATCAAAATCATTGAACATGTTAGAGCAACGGTAAATATAAGAAAAACTAGTTCTATTTTATACCAAAACAAGATGGAAACTTTTAACTTAAAAACTAATAGTTATGTAAGACAATAAATTAAAATACCAAAAAAAAAAAATCAGATTCTCTTTCTTACTTTTATGCCTGAAATAACTTGCAATTTATTAAGTCGTCCCGAGGAAAAATAGCTCGATGCCAAGATGATATAGAGCTTTACACCTCTAATTCTTTTTCCTTTTTCAACGGAAAAAAATGAAAAATCAAAAGGTCATCTTATTCAAAACCCCAATTATGACATTCCTTCTCTTCCATGTAAGCAGCCAATAGCTAGGATGGACAGTAGCAGCAACACTTCCAACCATTAGTAAGGAAAGTTAACTTGAAGCAAGAACTCTTAGG